ACTGCTGGAACATTTCTAGTTTGACTACTAGTGAAAGTGGGCTGTCCGGGACCAAGAATGGATGCCGTTTAACTAGGGGCTTGGACAGTGACTGGAGGTGCAGGTATATGATGCATAGAAATTAATGAGGGTATAGCCTGTGAAGATGCATGGGGGATGGATAACAGTGCAGCTTTGGCATTAACTACAGAGGGTAAAGAGTGAGGCTGAACAGGGCTATGCTTTGTTGTATTGTATGGGGCAGGGGAAGGATTTGGGAGGCCCTTGATAGTTCTCTGGGAATGCGAGGTTGAGGAAGCAGGGGGGATGAAGCCGAATTAATTTTAGAGTCAGCATACATCAAATTTGGGGGAGCAGAAGTAAATATTTTGGTGGGAGGCAGGTCGTAAAAGGAAGAGGTGGCTACATTTTCATGAAAGCTGTGCTGACTCAAGCTCCTTTTCATTAATGCGAATGCATCGCGTCATGTCAACCTGTTTGACAATTCTTTCTTTCTCCTTCAGTGCATCTGCTTGTCTATATTGAACAACTCTGGTCTCTTCTTCAATTAATTTACATTATTTATCAAGCTACTTCTCCTCCTCTCTCTGTCGTTGAAGCTCCTCCAGCTCATCTCTCCATTGCTTTTCCTCAAGGATGCTGGCTTGGAGATCACTCAAATTAGAAACGTGGCTGCTCTGGGAATGCCTACTACGGTGAGAGATTGTAGGGAGGCTAAAGGCTGACTTGGTGCAAGGAGTCCTTTTGCTATGAGAACTACGTGAGCCATGGGATTGTGCTTCCTGCTGCGACATATGAATGGGGCACCTATCTCTTTTAGGCCTAGGCCCTAGGTCAGGGATAATTGGCTTTGAGGGGTTTAGCTAGTACTTCAGAAGATGATGGCAAAATTATTTGGTACTCTTTATTAGCTGTAGACAATAATGGTTTAGGTGGTAGGCAAGGCTCTGTTTGGTGAGCAGGTATAGATGACCTAGGGGATGTTTGAGACAACTGTGGGTTGGGCTCATATATAATGGGCTGCGTTGAGTCTTTCAATTCAATTTAATGCAATTTTATTTGTATAGCGCCAATACATAACAGAAGTAGAGTACAGAGACCCAACAGTACCACCATGCGCAAGCACTTGGCGACGGGGGCAAGGAAAAACTGCCTTTTAGAGGCAGAAACCTAGGACAGACCCTTTGGCTCTAGGTGGGTGGTCGTCTGCCTCGAGGATCCATCTACCTTGGGATCCATCCATATACTCGGTAGAAGGAGCCTGGCCTTCAGTAGTGGAATCATCAATTGGGTTAATGCCATCAGTCTTTGAATCAGCCATTTTAGCATTTTAGGTCACTGTGTGGAGTGTGGCTCAGTAGGACCATTTTGTTGTGGATATAAGGTTCTACTAGAGCCACAGACCACCACGAAACCTCTGAAATAAAGATTAGACTGACATAAATCAACACAGTATTATTTAACAAATGTAACCTTCCTATCTCTTATACATCATAAAAATATGTAAATAATATTGTAGGCGCCAGCTAGTGCTAGTGCTAGTATTGTTTTAGGGTTTGTTGCCATGGTGGTGCATCAGCCAGGTAGTAAAATCAGCTGTTCACCTGGTGAATGAATGAACTTGAGAGGGTGAGAGGGGAGGTCGTACTTTTGCTGACCACATGATCTCGAAGATTCACTGACTAAAGGTTTTTATGGACTGTGGGGACATTCACTGTTTGTGTTTTAGCAGCAATGAATATGCATAAATCAGCAATCAAGAGATGTTTTTATTGAACAACCAGCGCGTCCGGCAGGTAAAGTTTTTCCCCTGCTTAGCCTCTCGGCGACAATATTGTTTGTTTGTTAGTCGCTTAACAGATATCTTGCCATGAAATTCTGTGCAGACATTTTTTACAGGCACCATGCCCAGAGGATGAAGTCTACTGACTGACTGGTGATCCTGGGCCTTTCCTTTTGGTGCTACAATGAGATTAACATTTGTAGTTTTCAGAAATGTCAAAACAGCTGATGGATGGATGGATGGTAGATGATGATGCCATAAAATCTGATACAATCTCAAAATGGTTTTTATCTAGCGCCATCAAATTTAAACTTCAGTTTGTCCAAAAAAAACCCCATATTTTTGACATTCACATCAGCCTCAGTTGTACTTTGTGCAAATTAGCAAGTGTTAGCATGCTAACGCTAAACTGAGATAATTAACTTATGGTAAACATGATACCTGCTAACCCCAAACATCAACATTTTAGTAGTTATCATTGTGAGTATATCAGCAGCACAAAGCACAGCTGTGCCTGAGCCTCTCAAAGCTGCTAGCACGGCTGTAGACAGTCTTGTTACATTTGTACATGAACAACAAAAAGGGAATAGTGAATGTCATGTTTGAATTAAAGTTGAGGTGACATCTGTAGACATCTATAAATGTCCCTGAATCATATTATGAAATATGGATGTATCTCAGATATCAATTTAGAACTATTTGTAAAGCTGTTTAATGCTTTTCTATTTCTTCACATGGTCCTGCAAAATGCTTGGTCAGATAATTCCCTTTACATTTCTACTTTTCTGCAGTGCAAATTATACTGTCGAGTGCAACAGTAAAAAAAAGCTTCAACTCCTAGATCCCAACAGGCAATTAAAAGTAAGAAGTGAAAGTTCTGGTATCATAGTGTGACCTTAGAATAATTTTGTGAGACAGAAATGCAAAGTAAAAGTACATTTAAAGTCGAGGAATTGAAAGGATTTTTCTTTAACTTTTAGCCATTTGTCCAGTTTTAGAAATAGGGATTTGTTGTTGAAATACTTTTTAATGTGATTGTATTGATACTGATTTCTCTGAAAGAGGCATTATAGGAGTTAGGTCTCTGCAGGCTCTGATAGTAACAGACTGTATTTAAACATAAACACTGATTTAAAAAGAACAAGAGCTTCTCAGCTGCAGAGTTAAATTGTAATAGCAAACTCAGAGAATATTTTGGCTGTACACCGTCATCTCTTCTTTCTTTTAAATGTGTAATGCGCAGAGCGAGGGAAGATAGTACTTAATACACTCTCAGATGCTGTTGAGGGGGTGGCACCTCCTGAGAGAGCTCAAAGAGCACTGAGGCCTGTGCTGTAATTACAACACAATATAAAGGCGGAATGGAAACGCGGTGACAGCTGTTGCTGGCTCGGCTCCTTGAGGCAGACCAGAGCCACGGGAGTATAGACAGTCACCCTCTGACCGCTCATCAGCTGAAGTGCCTCTGAAAAAAAGAGGATGCCTTTCATCTCTCATCTCTTTTATTCACTGTGTTTTGTCTGATGGAGCCATTTGTTCCCTTTTCCTTCAGGCTTTGTACATGTTCAGCTACGCCCCCCACACACACACTGTCAGATAGGTGCTTTGGTGCACTGTGCCAGGGGTGGGAAAGTGAGATCCTAAAAGAGGTCTGCATGACACTCTGTGAGAGTCATTCAAAGGCTAGAAAAATACCCCAATCTGGATTTAATAGAGAGAAAAATAAAGTGGCCTCATTCTGCAATGTGAGGGATCATGATTCACTTTGGGTTACTTGAGGGAACAGCAGCCTATCTATTTGCTGATAAGTGTAAGGCATTAATTTAAATAAACAGTGTAATGGGACTTGCAGACAAAGTCAGCACTCAGGAAAGAAGGAGGAACAACTGTTTAATGAGGTAATTTAGATTAAAACAAAACATTATTTTTTTCCTCTCACTTCGCTGGCCATTTGATAACACTGAGAGCTGCAATTTAAATAATGCTGATCATCATCAAGATATTGCTAGCTGAAATGCAGACGTCATATGATGAGGCAGGGGTAAATCCCCAGCTGAGGTCAGCCTCAAACACAGCAGCAGCTGGTTCAGAAAACACAGGGTTTTAATCTCCAGAATCCCCTTTGCTCCATATCGAGGTATTATGCAAGCTAACCTGGGGGTCAGATAATTAAGATGGAAGAGATAAGCTTGCCCCGTCAGGTCCAAAATGTTCCCCGGGTATGTAGAGGTGCAGTTTATACACCCGCTGCGACTCACAAGCTAATCCGTCCCTCCTCCATTAACACCAGTCGTCCTCCCGCCTGACAAACAATCAAATCTGGTGGGCATGCAGTTTCTGCTGTCCTAAAGAGTGCTATTTAAGAGGGATCACACTGTCCTACAACCACTTCCTGCTTTTCTGTTTGTCCCAGCAGCTGTTGATAATGGTGAACTCCAGGAAGCACATGAAGTCTGCTATATTAAACTGCACAAATCATATGACCACATGCTTAGCCTTATTTATAGCTTTCTACGAGCTGTTTGGTAAACAGTAATGTTGTGGTTTTAATCCCTCAAATGTGATGCGTGTATGTGAGCATGGGAGAAAATAAAGGAAAACAGACTCACATGTTATAAAGGACACACCAGCCACAGTGGGGGTCACCAGAGCTCAGACACTCAGCACATGTACCGTACTGCTCACAGGCCTCCACAGGGACCTGGGCCACCTAAACCAGAGGAATACACAGGTAAATGATTAAAAATAGACAGGGTTTCAAAAAAGTGAATAAAACTGTGCTGCTCTCTCTTTGAATATCACACTGACTTTTGTCTGTAAACTTATAGACATGATTCCAGTGGCAGCCTTCTTGAGTTTAGACACACTCAGGGTGGGAAAGTGACATATCATCCATATCATACAATCTTTATTTTTAAGGTAATTGTGGGGGTATAGGAAACACAGGAAGAGAGAGAGGGTGTATGACATGCAACAAAGGTCTCAATGCAACTTTATGGTAAGTGTCCTAAACCACCAGGACACTCCATACAGTCTTAAAGAAATATGCAAACATGTGGCATTTCATAAATTCTCATACATGCATAATAAATGACTGAATAATGGATCTGAATCCAGGTTAGCATTTTATGTATTAGGGTTTTTACAGCTACCTGAATTTAACATGGCAGTTAGTTGTGCAGTAGTGATTTAACTAACTGTGGCCTTGTGGCTACGGAGTGTGTAACGCGACAGGTAACACCAACCAGAGTGACAGACTGACCACCGGTAATTGTAGCAAGAATACAGCTGCCGGAAGTCAGCTGTGGTGGAAACACAGAGATTCCACTGGAACTTTGATAGTCACTAGAAGCATATTCATGGCCTCTTGTAAAAGTTTCTAAACATGCTTGCATGAAAGAGTGAGCAAAGCATTTCTAGTATGCATCATCAGACTCTATAAACCCCACACACATTATTGTGTAGAAAAACAGAATTGTAGTTACATTCCACACACAGTCTACCAGCTTAAAAAAATCAATAAATGCAGTTTAAAATATACATGTAATTCAGAAAACCCCCTGGGGGTACTACTCTGTGTGATTTATATCATTTTATCCAAAAATTACACCTATAATCCAAGGGGAACTAGATGAAATAAAACTCTTTTTGTCTGACTTGCCAATGGTTAAATTATACTATTGTGCAGGAGACTTAAAATTTTTAACACTATATAAATGTAATTCTTCTGATTAAAGTTTAAAAAATGGCTGCCATGTGGAAATAAGGTCAATAAAGACATTATGATGACATTATAAGCTGTTTTGATGAGGAGAGACCCAAGCCCATTTCTTCATGTTGTCTGATTTGCAATATATGGAATTCATCACAGCTCATACTGTAGAATATCCCAGAGGAAAACAACCCATTTGTATTCTACTTCTTGCTGCTGACACAAATTTGCAACATGCAGCATTGTGGTTCTGCCCACATTTTAGCTTTTTTTCCCCTCAGATGTCAGAAAGCACATGAAATGACAACACAACTATGTGAGAAGCATTTTTTGCAGCAATATTCTTATTTAACTTTTCTTTATGACATTTGAATATAAACTATGTTCTTGGACTACTAAATCATCACACTTTGTGGAGTCCTGCAGTAGTAATTAATCTCTGAGCACACAGTATAGGTTTATGCTGCTATTTTGCACACACAGGAGCACACACAGACAACCACACACTCTACTACTGCTGCCACTTCCATGCGTGAATGTCTGGCAAAGCATAAGCTCTCCATTAGTTGCTGTGAGAGTCGCTGCTGTCGCACAGCCAGCACCACCCCTGCATACAAAACCAGGTTGGAGCTGCAGCCTGAGCCCGGTTATTTTATACTTTGTTATTATTCGAGGTCTGGACGTATGATGCAAGCAATTTCCTGATGTAAGCAATCACAAATGAAGAGTGGATTATGGATTAGAGTGTCTCCGGTGCTCTTGATAGCATAAGTGGGTGCTCTCTCAGGTCTGTGTTGGCAAAATGGATTATCTGCTGCTCCCTATGAAATAACTTTCTCTCTTTTTTTTCTAGCAGTTCAGAACCCATTCGGTGCATTCCATTAGCAAAATGATTTTGTAGTGCAGGAGGGGCCGAGGGTTCTAAGTTCATATCTGACGCAGTTGGAATAATCCATGAATTGTTGTGAACGGGAGCCTGTCTAGTAAACTAACAAAGTTGGTCTGAGGCCGTTAGGCTGCGTGACCTTTACAAGGGGAGAACTATGGATCTTCTGTTTTCTGTTGCCCGACTAAGAATCAAATGTGAAGCTCTCGCCGCACATCAGCGTTGATTTGTTTAGTGGAACTGACCTGAGCAGGGATGCACTGTGTTGAATCCAAATAAGATCAAAACACGTCTCCTTAGGTTTAATGTTTATATGGTCTAAAAAAGCGCTGCAGTGCAGCATGTGAATTAGAATCAGTATATCAATTACATTGTAGAGTAGGGATGTGCATCTCAATAATATATGATTCCCCTCTATAGCGATGCAGTGTGAGTTGACACAATTTGATTTTGATTTTCATCGCGTGCAATTCAGCGAGATGCATAAGAATCTGATGCTATGTAAATCAGTATGGTATTGATAGATTTTATTTTGTTGGTTCTTCTTAAGCAGCTTGAGAAACAGTTAAAAGGACTCAGTCTAAATATAAAACTGTTGGTCACAAATTACTAGTCACATTTCTTGATAATTAAGGCAATTAGAGCCTCTATTATTACATTTTACCAATGCAAAGATGTTAGAACTGATGCATTCCGATTTCATCCCAAATTGTATCCAGTGTACACTTTTTTTAATCTGTGCAATTTCATCTTGAACTTTTATACCGGTGTACTGATGCAAATTAGTTAATCTTATCACTCCTTTTGTAGAAGATGTTGTTTTAAGATTGTGTTTTGGCGTTTCGCCTGTTTAAGTACAGGAAGAAACGTGGGAGAGAGAGAGAAGTGAAACACGTGAGAGAGGTCCTGGCCAAACGCGGGTGACGTTGCAGTTATATATGTGTCGTAATCACTAGGTACTTTGTAGATTTACCTAATAAAACACTAAGACAAACTATCGCCTTAAAAATGAGGGTTGATTCAATTCATCTCTGGCATTCAATATCAGATTTGATTTGACTTTTTCGGTTAAACCTAAATTAAAGGATACCATTTTTGGTTAATAGTTCATATTGTAAATGGGGTTCATTTCACAGTCCAGTGCATATACTATGTGCATCCCTATCATCTTTCTATAATTGTGGATGACTGAATTAAGCCTTCAGCCTCAGTTTATGTTCAATGTACTGTCGATGCCTCATAAATTATTCATGATCAGACACAGTATGTTGTATTTCTCATCAAGCTTTTTGTTTGTTTTGTCTTCTCTGGGATAATTTCTTCAGGAGAAACTGATCATTTAAAGCAAACACAGAAAACCAAAGAAAACCCTCCACCGTCCTGAGAGGCGAAGTTTCATGCTGGCTGCTTTTGAATGTTTTTCAGCATTGTATCATGGCAATGCTGGATGATCACGTCCACTTTTCCAGCTTTGGGAATTACAAAGTCTTGATCTTTTCAAAACATCTGGTATGCCCTCACACTAATGCTCAAACTTATCATCTCACTATTACTTTAACGCTTTGATCCGGATTTACTGAAACTTTATGAATGCTGTCAGATGAGCATACAGGCTTTTAGACCTCCACTGTCATTCTATATCCTCAGTCTGGCTCTGGAAAATCCAAAGCCATCACGTGACCATCTATGGTTAGCAGGTCATATCCAGGGTTTTGTGCTTTTAGGACAGAAATGAAAACAAAATTGAAAAAAGGAAATAATTGGAATATATATGAATAAATGAGTAGTTTTCCTAAAATTCAAAAACAAAAATCCTTATTTGAAATTGAAACTCATGAATCAAAGAAAACAAATACGAAGAAATGTCTTGGCTGACTGAGCATGAACATTTCAACAGACTAGATCACATATAACGCAGATTGCTGTTTAATTTAAATTCCTCATCATGTGGACTTCATGCTTTGACATACTGCACACGCCATTAAAAATATTGATATGTGACATTTTATGAATTAATTCTTAAATCACTGACTGTATTATCATGCAGTAGCTTAACTCATACAGCCACACTTGTGTCGTGTTACATTTCAGTTTCTCAAAGCCGCATTCTGAACAGCACTGATTGCCAACCAGAGGTACGTGTTCCCCACAAGGTACTTGTGGAGATGCCGTGGGGTATATGGAAATATCTTAGTGTAGCTCAGCTAATTTCAAATGATTTATTATTATTAATCAAAAACAAATAGGATTACATGCTGGTGTCATCTTTAGCATACTAACTGTCACAATACTGGGTCAAATATCACCTGAACATCATCTGCTGGTAGTGAGGGTTCAACAAAACTAGGTTGCAAGCAAGCAGAGTTGAAATAGATGAAAAAGCAGATAAATGGTTGTACTGTTTATTGTGTGCCAGTGGTAACTTACTTTTAAAAAAGAACGAAAAATAATTATTGTAACAATATTCTCTTTTATATACAAATAATAAATTAATTAATCAGGTCAGGATCTGATAGAGTGGTGGAGGTACATCGGTTTAAAAAACACTGCTGTACAGTATGGTCGTATACAGGTGAGAGAGGGAAGAAAGAGGGATTTCAAGCAATGTTTTTACATTTTACAGAGTGGCACTTTGAGAGATTGCCCTGGAAAAACCCTGCAGCAGTTTCCCTCCCCCTTCTCTAAGGTTTAAAGCCTTAGCCATCATTTTAGCAGACAGACGAGTGACATTCAGTGAGGTTATTGTGTGTTTGGATACCAAGAATTTCTATTCTTAGAAATGATCAAACTAAAGGCACACAGTGAGAAAAAAGATTAGCTGCTTTTTTTTTCATATCAATAATGGTCCCCAAATGATGTTTTGGTGCGGACTCAGATACACACACTCAAACACATATATCCACGCAGACACACACACTGATTCCCTCTTTTCTCTCCTGAATCTTCATCATCATGCTAACCCTGCGTGTTTCACTCGGCAGGAGACACAGAGGCTCATTGTTATTCCACAAGGGTCGGCTGATCTCAGCCAAATCTGTCTGTGCCTCTCTCCTCATTCCACATCATTCCTGTATTGTTTGGCTCCCAGGAATCAGAAAATCTCTCATCTCTGGGATCTACTGGAAATGTGGGAAATCTGTGAGTGAAGCCCTGTCCCTGGGGGATTCCTTACTCGAGCTGCGGCAAAGTCTGAAGGGAAAGCTGAGCAAAGATGGAGAGGGAGACAGAAAGAGGAAGAGGCTTTACTCTGCGCCGAGCTCCTGAGGGCTACAAAGCCAAAGCTGTTCTAATATTGAGAGAAAACGCCTGGCCAAGCTGGGTTTGGTTTTTGTTCGGTTATTATGTGTCACTGGAGGCGGACTGAAAACAGTAGCTGCTCTCCTTGAAGGAAGCATGTGTCTCTCCTTGAACGACCAGAGCTCATCAATAAGTGATGTCCTGTCTCTTCCAGTCTATCACAGAGGAGGAAGAGCTGCCTTGATTTGTTTAAAAAGACGGTTCCAACACAGTACTGTCTCTATTCTCCCTTGCTTTTCAGATGACATCTCTTGTTTTCTTAAACTTGATGCTTTTATAGGTTTCAAAACTGTTTTTTAAGCTCCCAGAAAAGAGTTTTTGGAGCCACTCTGAAATAACTGACACAACTTCAATTGTCCCAGTGCCCTTTGCCTCTCTGTCCTGTGACTCTGGCTCAATACATTCCAGTAGTCAGAAGACAACTGAGAGCAGTGATAGGGGCTTTTTTTTTCTGGCCGCACTGACACCTAATCCCATTTCACAGTGCCATGCAGCCGCGCCAAAATAATCACTTGATGGGAGTTGAAAGTGATTACCACTGTTCACTCTTATCTCCAATGAGTGCAGAGAATATCGTCCAACAACAACAACAACTGCTCGCCTCTGTGATGCCGGGCCAAGTGAGGAGCAGACGATGGGGGATACAGACACACAAAAAAGGCGCTAATGGTTTTCTATGGGATGTGTGTGTGTGTGTGTCCCATACAAAAGATGCATGCACTGTAAGTCGATTCGCATGGATAAGTAATTAGAACAGTGGTCCATCCCCTTACACAGAGCCTGCATATTTAACAAACCCTACTGTAGACATACAGCTTGTGAATGTTTGGGAATTGCCACACTGGATTTTGGGGATAAGTCATAATCATCTGTTAGGATTCCAAATAAATGACATTAATTTATCATTCAACATAAATGAATGTTTTTTGGTTTGAAACTGTTTTACTGCTTATTCCCCAAGTGTACACAGTAATAACTGCAATGCTGGTATCTGTGCAGAAAAAAATATTCCTTTTTTCAATATCCTGATAAACTGGATCCAATTAAATCCTCAACAAACAGGAATACTTGTCAGTTTTGTACGTAAATACACATGAAAATACTATATTTTATGTTTGTTTGGACAATTTTCATTGACCCAATGGCAAAAATGTTTGAAATATAGACTTCCATGTCAGGTAAAACTTTTGACTACAAATTTCATGCTGCACATACAGTATCTCACTCAAGGACGTGTCAGCATGGCGAATGCTCACTGTCACTGGGGCTTGAACCTGCGGGCTTCCAGCTGAAGGACGGCCTCGCTACTCACTATATCACGCTGCCACTTGGCGTTTCTCCTGACAGCAGCAGCAAAATGAGGGCGTTTCCTCACCTGATTGTCAGACATGACATAGAGAGAGTTCCTGTCCAGGGAGAAGGCCATGTCCCGGAGGATGGGGCTGCTATCCTTCATCACGGTCACTGTCTCGTACAGCACTCCTCCCTCCAGAGGACCGTCCACTCTGATCTGCAGAGACACAGACAAATACGGAGAGAAAGAAAACAGTGAATGCCTCGCTTCAGGACAAAGTGACTAAATGGTTGCACTAAATTTGTAGTGTAACATCTGTTGTACATGCTTCCTATGCCTCTGTATGCAAGCTCCCATTTTCCCTCTAAAACACTGGCATTATAAGAAGATATTTTTTAAATTTCAGCTTTATAAGACATGAGCAAAACAGCATGTTTTCAATTTGATGACAATTTGCTTCAGATGGTTATAAAACTTGTAGGGTGGGTTTCTTCACTTTGTGGGGATTGGAGCACTGACAAACATTTCTGGTAATTTCGGTGCATTGTGAAGCAAAGACCATGAAAAGTCCATTCACATCAGTCAAACCATTTCTACAGAATCACCAACTGTACAAAATGTGCTCCTGTATCTGATAATGACTAATCAGTTCTAAATACACTCTCCTCCAGTATAGCAATCAATTAGAACATTAGCTCATTAACAGAGAAGCTACTAATGAGAAATGACACAAAACACTTATCGTTGATATTAAGCATTAGCATGTTAGCAGGAAAAGAAACATAATACCCCTCCATTAAATTTAAACTTTTGGGAAATGTTCTAGTCCTGCCAGACTAGATAAAAGATTATAATTTTTTCATCCCGTAGAAAGGCCAAGGACATGTTTAGTTTTAAAGCAGGGCAGGGGGAACTGCTGGCCTCCATCAAAAGAGCACACCTTCCAAGATTTCCAACGTTTCTCATGTTTACATGTTGCATCTTGTTAGCTAGCAGGCTAGGTTTTGTTTAGAGCTATGATAGCATCCAAGGAGTCACTGTGCACAGCTGTTGTTTATCTTCATATAGCTCCAATGTTAGCAATGCTCCAAAGGCTAACTCTTAAACCACAATGTGTCATGTTTTATTTCCTCATATTAAACACACTTGATGTTTAAATAAGAGAGTCTTGGAGCTGTTGGAAACATCTTTGATGAAGGCTAGGCTAAATTAAACTGTTCCTTCCTGCTTCCATTCTTTGTCCTAAGCTAACATTTGGCTAAACACGTCAGCTGGTTTGCAAAGAGATGAAACTGATGTTGACTTCTTCTCTAACACTTGGGGAGACAGCAGACAAGGAAGGGGAGGGAAGACAAGTTTCAATTTGTTTTTCATACGACAATTGCATTCCTAATATGTATTAGCTTTTATTATCGTCTCTGCATTAGAATTAGCTTTGACAGGTAACCACCATGGATGTAATAAGGAGATCTGGATACAGAATTGGAGGTGGGACTCTGTTCTTTCCTATGAAAGTTTCTCAGTGGTACACAAACCCAAAAAAGCACTTCCTGCTGTAAAGAAATTACCCAGATGCCTCATCACATGGTTTGACCACTATGTCAAATTGGCTTCAACGTCTACTCCTGGGGGGCTTGGTAACAACAAGCTTACACAAAAAAACTGTGAGTTTGCAATGGAGATAAGCAGGCCTATTATTTATTCCAGCAACACCCTCTTGTGGTAATACTTGTGGTAATAGTGAGCAGTAGCGCTGGTAATCTCGTCATTATTCATTCATGCCACCAAGGAAAGCTACATCTGTGAGACTTAGAAGTGAGACTTAGAAGAAGACAGAGGAGAAAGAAAACATGGATCTGCTGCTACTCTTTCACAAGTCCAATTGGCCGGTGCGACTCCGACCTAATTCCACCCCTGAGGTTACATATGACGCAGTTGAATTTTAAAACGCGTTCAGTGAGCTCAGTCTTAATTTGACTTTGGAATGACTTTCAGGCAGCAGTCTTTTGGGGCTCATTAAATGCAAGCATGGAGAACAGATGCCCACCGGTGAAGGGTTTTTGATTCTCCCACCTCTGCCTACAAACAAGATGTGCTCTTGCAGTGAAGCAAACAAATAAGCAGAGCTATCTTTGTAATAAGTGGCTTACTGATGTTGGAGCTGTCGAAACACAGCCCTGTGAGGAAACTGTTTGTAAAGATGTGGTGAGTAAGCTAAACTACTCTTTAGTAGTGCTCACTACATAATGAAAGTGTTTTAACTTTTCATACTCACCACATAATAATCATGGCGGTTTAAATTGCATAACCATTGCCCAATGCAGCACAAGAAACTAGGCAGAGCTCCTTCAATTTTTTATTTCACAAAAATACCTTTATTTTCAATGTTGTTGTGAGAATGATGTGAATTGCATCATGCGGTAATGATAACTTGACACCTGAAAAATAACTCTGAAATGTGAAACGATAGCAAAAAGTCTGAATAAAGCACGATGGCTAGAAAAAAAAAGTGCTCATTAGCTATGGAAACCCAGGTTGAAGCCCTATTTAAATTCCAGGGAGACTGGGATCATCAACCATGTGATGCAATTACAGTAAAGCTGAATTAATTTCTCAATCATAATAATTGAAATAAATACAAGATAATGAGGAATTGGAGCAAAGAATTGTGGAAGTGTTGCGGAACGTCTGCAGTGCAATTATGCCAGTCTTCCCCGCATGCATCCTGACGCGTGGACTTAGGCAACCTCACCACCCAAATCAAATTTGACTGCAGAAGATTTTGAATGCGTGCCAGGTCTAGCTTGCACATGGTGGCAGAGCCTCAGCAGTCTCTCAATGGGGACAGTCAATCAATACAAACTGATTACATGATTGGATCCCCTGGGCACCAAAACTTCATCAATCAATCACGCCTCCACCTTCCAGGCAGCTGTGCCTCTCCAACCGTCAACTCCACCAGCCAAGAATGGAGAAGAGAGGGGGGAAATATGTGCAAACGTGTGTGTATGTGTGAGATTATGTTGGTGGGAGGGTACATACTGGGGGGTACAGGGAGGGTCTTCTACATGCAAAAACACAAAAGAATAATACAGGCAGAATAGTGACATGGGATTGTCTGTTGATTCGAGATCCTAAGAGGACACAGTTTGTCTCTCACAGGTCATTACCTCAACACTGCACCCAATCCGATCCTTTAAATAGTTATTTCATGGACAGATTTATCTCAGAGTTAAGCTTCTTTCTCTCTCGCTCATTGTCTGGTTTCTTTCTCTTGCCCTGTCTTCTCTTGCTCCTACTGTACCTCCTCCTCCTCCTTATCCTATCCCTCCTCTCCTGTACCACAATCCCACGCCGTAATGGAGCCAGTTTACATTATTTTTTTCCCACACTCCTCATTTCAGAAATAGCTCAGATAGAAACCAGAGCACGTAAGCGTTTCTGTGGTGAAACCATGTTTTAAAAAAAAAAACCCCAAACAATCATCTGGAGAAGGGCAGATAATGAACCATGTGTGTTTTTTAGTTGGGTATGATGAGGCTGACTGAGGGCCAGGGGTGCAGGGATGAGCTCTGACAAATACTGACCCATCATGACCGATCCGCAGTGTTTGATTTCAGCGCATTTAAAAGTGGTTTTATCATCTAAAACAGAGCTGACCAGGCAGAGGCCCTCTGGGAGTACAACAGGTCCTCAATCTCTCCTTAAGCCCCACAGCTCCATAATGAGAGTAAGGCGGGTTTAATTGGTTTTATAATGAGCCTGCTTGTAGGAAATGACACACAAAGTTGCACACACGCATGCATGCTCACCTACACACACAGGCATTACAACAAAGAAATACACTTGCATACAAACACACACACAGCGCACTCACTCTTGTTGATTGCTCTCATTGAATTTGTAGTTGTATATTGTGTGCATGATCACTGGTTTGATCAATATCCTATCATGGATAATGGCATATCAGGAACACACATCCAGTATGCAAGAATCCATATAGTCCATTTAGCCCCATTTTCACATGTATGGAGAAAATCCAGACAGGTTTAAGTACTTTGTAGTATCAGTACTACCACCATTATTCATAATATTTATATTTATAATATATACTATCAATTTATTTTTGTTTCTGTCTTTATTTAATGTTTTGTCATTTTGTGCCAATTAAAATACATTTTCCAGCTGTTTGGGAATAACTTCTGTACTTCTGTAGCAGTTTAGTTACAACAATAATAAGCTATCTAACAACTATCTATAAATAAAAACACATGGCTGAAATACAGCAAGACAAAAATTTTATTGTCTTGACAGTCCCTGACACTGCTCCCTCACCCACATGATTCATCCTGGATCAGACACACATTACAAAAGCTCAGTGCACCTTCTGCATGATTGTATGTGTTGAACTGACTCTTTAATGAGACAGGGAGAATGATGACTAATTGCGTTCTCATTTCAGAGTCACTTCAGCTGCTGTTGACCCTGTGAGTAGGTATTTCCACAGAGAGCTTACATAGTGTCACTTCAACATCTAGGTAGGAGGTGGCAATTGGATTTCAGTCCACCTCGAATGCTTCTCTGTTACATTTGCATTTAGCTATGGTATATATATGAAAATCTATCTGATCCTCCCGAAGAGCATAAAGTGATTCAATGTAAATAGGGTCTTATTTAAGTAGTTAGGGCATTGCTTTAAGTTCAGTATCAGGGACTACTATATTTTCCAAAAACCTTGGTACACCTTTTAAAATTCAAGCAGATTCCCCTTCCATGTGTGGTCCATGTCATGTAACAGAACAACTAAACTGATTTGCCATTAATACCACATGTCCATACAACCTCAGTGAGCATCTCATTTTGTCCTCTCTTTCCAGCGTCTCACAGCTGACGAGGATATATTTTTAACCCATGAATAATATTTAAGCCAATAACAGCAATATCCTTTCTGCTGCTGAAATTCCCTTGGAGAACCTGCGATGGATATAAACAACTCAGCTTAGTATGGCTTCCACAAACAGATATGCAACCTGAGCCCATGTGCTCTTAACGAAAACAGCCTCCCTTTCTCGTGGCTGGGTTTGCATCTTAAATGCTCGGCTGCACTCTCATCCTGTGAGAGCCAAAGAAAACAAAAAAATCCTGACTTCTAAGATGTCACTTGGCTGGAGTCGGGTTGGCTCCGTTGTAAAGCTGCCAGACCTTGCATGAGCAAT